AGACACAATCTTATTGTGTAACTCTGTTTTTGTTACTCTGTTTCTCCTTGTGAATTTTCACTAATCTCTCTGCTTTTTCTTCTGCTGCAGATTCGTTTAGCAGAGAAACCGAAGGTCTTAGTTCTTATGAACAACTCACTGCTCCTCTCTGCTCAGAAATCTCCAATGGTTAGTCTTTTTTAACTTCTTTTACAAATCCAATCCCAAGTATTTTACCAAACCCTTGAAAAACAGAGTTTTGGTTTGTGTAGTTTCTTCAAAACTTATGGTTATGGATTCTTCGACTCTGTGTAGGAACCATTTGTTGTGACAGAACCGGTTTGAGATCAGACGTCTGTGTAATGAAAGGCGATATTCGAACAAACTCTGCTTCTTCATCACTCTTCCTCTTTACCTCCACCAAGAACAACAACAATACAAAACCCGAAAAGATCAAACCTTACACTAGAAAATGGGAGACTAGTGTTATGGACACTGTTCAAGAACTCAACCTCATTACCAAAGATTCAAACAAATCTTCGGATCGTGTCTGCGATGTGTACCACGATGTTCCTGCAGTGTTCTTCTCTACAGGTGGATACACTGGAAACGTTTATCACGAGTTTAACGATGGGCTTATCCCTTTGTTTATAACTTCACAACGTTTCAACAAAAAGGTTGTGTTTGTGATTGTTGAGTATCATGATTGGTGGGAGATGAAATACGGTAATATCGTTTCGCAGCTCTCGGATTATCCGCTTGTCGATTTCAGTGGCGATTCAAGAACGCATTGTTTCAAGGAAGCAACTGTTGGATTGCGTATTCACGATGAGTTAACGGTGAATTCTACACTGATGATTAATGGTAATGAGACCATTGTTGATTTCAGAAACGTTTTGGACCGAGCTTATGCACCTCGTATACAAAGCTTGGTTCAGGAGGAGGCGAATGAGACAACAACAGTTGATTTCAAGAAACCGAAACTGGTGATTCTGTCAAGAAACGGGTCGAGGGCGATACTAAATGAGGATCTTCTTGTCAAGCTAGCGGAAGAAACCGGGTTCAATGTCGAGGTTCTAAGACCGGACAAAAGAACAGAGATGGCTAAGATTTATCGGTCGATGAACACGAGCGATGTAATGATCGGTGTACATGGAGCTGCAATGACTCATTTCCTTTTCTTGAAACCGAAAACCGTTTTCATACAGATAGTTCCGTTAGGGACCGATTGGGCGGCAGAGACATACTATGGAGAACCGGCAAAGAAGCTAGGATTGAAGTATATTGGATACAAGATTACGCCGAAAGAGAGCTCGTTATACGATGAATATGGTAAAGATGATCCTATAATCCGAGATCCGGATAGTCTCAACGATAAAGGATGGGAATATACGAAGAAAATCTATCTACAAGGACAGAACGTGAAGCTAGACTTGAGAAGATTCAGAGAAACTTTAACTCGTTCCTATGATTTCTCAATTAGAAGGAGATTTAGAGAGGAAGTTCCTCGTTTGCTTGTTACATAGAGAAGAATCATAAGAACGTATAACAATTTTTTTGTAAAGTTTTGATTTTGACATTTAAATTCTTTTTTAAGTATTTTTGGTGTATGATAAAGAATAATTTACTCATCATCATACAGTTTAATTTCGTCCTAGCAAGTAGTCAAAATGTGAAAAAGCTATAAAGCCTATAGGTTTATCTTAATACTTGTTGGCATAAACAGTTAAAAATGCTCACCAAATGATGGATCAAGGGAGCTTTGATGAGGACTCCACTTCTGATTAGATATATAATTGATTTCTTTGTAACCTCTTCACTCTTGTATATAATGGACACAAAAAACT